CTTCCAGGGCTATATTTGTTTTAAGGTCACTGAGGAATTATAGTAGTAATTGGATAAAACATAGCTTCATTTCAGGAAAAAAATAGGCAGGTTTGACCTGACTTATATATTGTACTTAGATTAAAAAAAAAAGTTCAATCAAAGACTAAAAAAAGCACGTGACCTTGGGTAGAGGGCATGCAGTTTTGGCCTGCCAACCATCCTTCCTCTTCTGGTAATTATATCTCAATCTGAGAACTGTTTTGCCATTGCACGCAATTTCAGTGAGATAGCAAATGAGACCTTTTGTCCTTTACTTGCCAACTGGTGTGTTGAGGCCTGAATCAGGCACTTTCCCCTTTGAAGGTTCAGATTCAGAGTGGGTGGCACAATATTCGTGGTAGGTGTCCATTATATTCTGCTACCTGGCTTTCAGAAGCTGCTGCTGTCAGCCTTCTCAAAAGCTTGGTTATTTTCTTCAATTACAACAACAAAGGTAAATATTATTATTAAGCTTGACCTAACCACAGTCAGTTTCTGTCGTTAGAACTTAAGAATTCTGTCTTATCATACAACATTCAAAGCTGGTTTGACAAAAACCAAATGGGCCTTTAATACAGGAGATAAGCTGAAAACAAACCACATAAAACAAAACTTAATCACTGCAGTTTCACTGACTGAAGCCCAAACATTGTGCTGAAGAAGTGTTTGTACTTCTTCCATCCCATTCTACACTCCCATTTCCCACCAAATTCCCCCAGGTTTCCTTCTAGGCAGGATAAAGTAAGAAATGTTTTGTAAAACTTTTCCATCCAGGGCCTCCCCTGGTGGCACAGCAGTTGAGCGCTGGGCTGCGAAGCTGCCTGCAGCCTCTGCAGCGCTGGTTCGATCCCTGGCCCCCCGCGAGGGTCCCACATGGCGCTTCAGACCTCACCTGCTGCGCTCGCTGCTCACCTCAGCAGTGTATTTCGTCTGTCTGCCTGTTCTGCTCCCTGCTCTGTCTCTGGTGAATTCTCTCACCCTCCTGCACTTCTGACTGTACCCAGTGCTTGTGTCAATAAATAGATAAATCTTTAAAAATAAAAACAAAAAACTTTTCCATCCAAATCTTCTCTCGGATGCCAGGACCAGTGTGTGAAGGAACAAAAATTAAGGATGAAGGATGGGAGGAATTAGGACACGTCTTAAAAGAACAGAGAAATTAGGAAAGATGTGAGGATTATGGAGAAATGGCGGACTGTCTGATGTCTTAGGAATGTGGCTGAGGGAACAGGTTGGAGTTGCTAGAATGGATTTCAGAGAACCCATCTGGGGGCCCAATCCCCAAGGCCATAACGGAAAAGATCAGATTAATCTGATACCTGGCTTGATCCATTTTGATAATCAGGGCCATCGGGAAAGAACAAAATAAGCCAGCCTGCTATCAAGAGCCACAGGGGACCCTGTATTCCCATTATGCTGGCCCTGCATAAGTCCCAGACCTCACCAGCTTGCTGTTAAGATTGGTCATCTGGATTTCTGAATTCAACTGGGCTTTATTGGCTAAGATGGAAATAGGACAGTGTCCTCTGCTCCTTTTATTTTTTAAAATGCTCTCACAACAATTATGGTCTAAAGCAAGACCAATAATGGAAACCCATTTTTTCTAATATAGTAATCTCAGAACTTTTTAAGGAAAAGTTTTTTTTAAAAATGTCATTACCATTGATAAAATGGGATGTGAAGGTGTTTTAAGTTAGGGTATCGTGTGTGTGTGTGTGTGTGTGTGTGAGAGAGAGAGAGAGAGAGAGAGAGAGAGAGAGAGAGAGAGAGAGAGAGAGAGAGAAAGACAGACAGACTATATGAGAATATAGGAGATTATCTGTTGGTCTGCCAGCCAAGCATAAGTGCCCCTTCTTCTGGTGAGAAGAACATTATTTCCTTATTCAAAAACTACTATACTTTCACTACAAATGTTTCAGTGGGGCAGTGGAGCTAAGCCTACACCTAGGCTCCAGGGGTAGTATTTGTCAAAGCAGAAATACACCAATCTCTTTGCCTGCCGTCCATTGTGACTGGCTCAAGACAGAACACATGACCTATGCCAGTCCAACCAAGTGAACCCTGGACATTTTGCTGGGACTCTCAAGAAAGAGGTACTGTCTTTGTGCGTGAGGTTGCTAAATTGGTAGGACAGACCTGAAGCTGCCAGGCTCCTCTTGCATGGGAAGAGCCTGCCGAAGAATGAAGCCAATACAGGGGAGAGCAAAGTCAAAGTGTAATCACAGAAAGGTAATCACCCCATTGGCATCTTTGGAGTTTCTGAAACTGAAATTAAGCATGCACCTACATTTTTAAACTGCTTGGGCAAATAAATCACAGCTGAAATTAAGCGTGCACCTACATTTTTAAACTGCTTGGGCAATCAAATCTCAGTTTTTACTTAAGCCAGTTTGAGCTAGGTACCTGTCACTTGTAATCTAGTGTCCTGACCAAGATGGATGCTGACAGGGAAGCAACAAGATCTCAGAATAGGGTGGAAGACATCAGTTTTCCACCAGCTAAGAGTAAAGGAAAAGAGAGAGGTAGGAGCTCTCCCATATAAAGTGTAAACCCTGGTTCCTGATTAGGGATTTATGCTTCAGAGGATTAGACTTCCCTAGAAACTTCATCTTAATATTCTCTAAAGTACTGCTAATGAATAAGGTGAATAATTAATACCCCACATTATTCCATGTAACTCAAATCTTAAAATTAAATATTCAGTAATTTTTAAATGGCTGTATTTTCACCAGACTGAAAAGAAACTCTTTGAAATAAACTAGCCATTGCAGGAGAAAACATCAGGATCAATATAGAAATAATGGTAATTTCCAGGAACTCATTAGCACTATTAATTTTTAAATTTAATTAATAGATAGAAATGACTCTTAATTTATGTCATCAGCCAAATGTGCTTTTTTTTTTTAAAGACTTATTTTTATTTATTTATACAAGCACTGGGTACAGTCAGAAGCACGGGAGGGTGAGAGAATTCAAAAGAGCCAGAGCGGGGAGCAGAGCAGGCTAAGGACCAAAGCACACTGCTAAGGGGAGCAGCAGGTGGCAGGAGAGGTCTGCGCGCCATGTGGGACCCTCCTCCGGTGGCTGGGGAGCAGCTGGGGATCGAACCATTGCTGCAGAGGCTGTGGGCAGCTTCGCAACCCAGCGCTCAACCGCTGCGCCACTGGGGAGGCCCCAAATGTGCTTTCTAATTAAGATTTGCAATCTATAAATTTGTAAACCACTGAATGGCTCTAAACATGGAGAAGTATTGATAAAGGTCTGCCTGCGCTGAATGGATTTTCAGAACTTGAGAAAGGTGAGAAAATTAGTCTCTTACCCTGCCCATATCTAGAAGCTTCTTTGGTCAAATATATTCAAGTTATTCTCAGGCATACCATCATTATGACTGCAAATGTCATTTCCACTCACCATTAAATTCAACCGAAAAGTTACATCACATCAGCTAAAGCAGTAAGTTCAACATATTGACAATAATTATTACTACTTGCAAAATGAAAAACCTTCCATTTGATAAGTATAAAAATGAAGCTGATTTCTGAAATAGATGCAAATATCAACTTCACTGAGTAAACAATGTGTAAGATGAGGCTAGAGATGGACCCAGCAAACATTACAGATGCAAAGGCTGTTTACTATTAAACACTACTTAGCGAATCAATCAATAATACTTTCAAAAGATCTAATTGCAATCTTGCTCCACTCCCTTCATGAAAGGAGTCAAGTACTTTAGCAAGTGGGAAGGAGAGTTTTAGCAAATCAGGATTTTGCTGCCTATGCCTAGCCTTCACTCAAGTAACATTTTTAAACCATCTGTTGCAAACTGGAGTGCCTGCTGTGCAGACAAAGCATATGCTGGGAGTGTCAGAAAGGCAGGAGATCCAACGTTTTTGTTTTGAAATAATTTACTACCTAGTAATTTTAAAAAAGAGAGAAGGGAAGGAAGAAAGTCAGTGAAGCAACCCATGCGTGAAAAATCAGTTTGTTGGATTTCCTTACATGCATCTTACAGTTTACTATTATTTGGAGTTGCGCACGGAAAGATGCCATAAGTTTTTCAATGCATAGAGATTGATTTCTAATGGCTTTATGCTAGCCTTGCCAATGGGTAATACATTGGGGGCATAGGATTCCAAATACAGAGAGTATTTATTTCTTTTATATTAAGATAGATTAAAATAGCTTTCCTTAGCAAATAATCATTTTTGAAAAATATGCATATGTCAGAATAAAGTTCGCCAGGAGGCAGGCAAGGTATGTCCATTTACTGATGATAAACACATGATGGTCAACATATTATGGAAAAATAATTATAAAATTTAAAAATACACTCGAATTCCATATTCAACTTACTGATAAATAAACCTCTGAGGTCTGGAGGTGAAAATTTCCTTGTGCTATATGCTCAGGATATATTTTCTCCTGAGAACAATACTGAATTTTGGATAGTGCTATAACTTGCAGAAAAGAACTCACAACATTTTTTAATAGAAAGAACAGGGAGGCTAGTGAAGGCACCATGCTCAGGAGGTGTTAACATCCTTTAAAACAGGGTGTCAGTGTGGGGAAACACTCCTCACTCAGTTCAAGCCTTAGCTTGTGGCATTTTAAATAGCTGTGTGACCTTGAGTAATTGACCTAACTTCTCTGAATCTCGATCACATCATCAGTAAAATAGGAGTGATACTGGCACCAAACTTAACAAGACTATTGTAACTATTAAACAGGAAATCATACATAAGGTACTCAGTACAATGCCTCGTGTAAGTTAGACTAGGCTGGTAAACAGAAGCTTCTATTTGCAGTTTTTCCTAAAATAAAATACCATTATTCCAGAAGCTTATAACCCATCACCAACCCCTATGCCTCAGAAGGAAGCTACTGGCAGAAAGCCAAGGCTATGGTTCCCCCTGAGCAGTACTTCGGGTGTCCTGGGCTTCAGGCTGGGGCCGTCTTAGCAGTCTTCTGCAGGGGTTTACCTCATAGTAACTCTGCACAGCATTCATGAAGGCTTCGTCAGCCACAATCTGGGTTTCCCCATTGAGGAAAGCCTGAAACCGGTCCTTGACTGTCTGCAACTGCTGTTTGCTGATCTGTAAGAAACAGAGAAAGAAGGGACAGTGAGGGTTTGTTCTAGATAGGGATCATGGTTACGTTATATCATGGTTTTATATGGACGATGCCAAGGCCATTGATACATTTGAGTTGGCTTATATAGTTGTGTAGGAGTTAATGAATGATTAACTTTGCAGGAATTTTGCAGGAATTTTGTGAGCTAGTTGTTACAGTCATATAATACAAATTAAAAACAAATGTCATATGTACTCAAAATTCATTGCTTCTTTTATATCTTATCCCATTATACTATTATCTGTGTTTTTGAGGTTGCTTACATCTATTTGTATGGTTAAAATGATATAAAATGGGGTGCTATCACACATCTCTTCTCAATTTAGTGACATGTTATCGGAAGCTATATATTAACTGAGGTGAGAGTATTTACACCATGGAAATTGGCAAATGCTACAAATTAGGATTTCATGTTTTGGAGATATTTGTTCAACACACCATTATATAATCCGTCAGGTGGTCTGAAATATCTTGCTTTACAAAGGTTGTAGTAATTGAAACAGAATGGCACTGGCATAAAAACAGACACATAGGCCAATGGAACAGAATTCAGAGCCCAGAAATAAACCCATACACATATAGTCAACTAGTATTTGACAAGGGAAGCAAGAATACCCTGCAGCCCCATTTTCACTTGCAGCACTACTCACAATTGCTAGGACATGAAAACAACCTAAATGTCCACAGATGGACAAATGGATAAAGGTAATGTAAAGTCTATGTGAACTCTCCCCCAAACACACATATATTGGGATATTATTCAATGATAAAACTAGAATTTATAATATAGATGGACCTCCATGACATCATGTTACATGAAGACAAAAACAAACATGGTATGTCCTTACTTACATGTAAAATATTAAAAAAAAAAACAACTTTTAGAAACAGAGAGTAGAATGGTACTTGCCAGGATCTGAGGGGTAAGGGAAATAGGGAGATATCTACTGGTATACAAAATTGCAGCCATAAGACAGGAATAGGAAATTTCCAACCATAAGATAGGAAATTTAATACACAGCATGGTGACTATAATTAACAATACTGTATTATATGCTTGAAAGTTGGTAAGAGAGTAGAGCTTAAATGTTCTCACTACAAATATAAAAAGAGAATTATGTTAGGGGATACAGGTACTAATTAAACTTAATGTGGTAATCAGTTTACAATATATGCAAGCCATAACATTTTACAACTTTAACTTATATAGTTGTATATCAGTAATATCTCAACAAAACCATCCTGCTAAGTGCTGCATGGCAACATGTAGAGGTTTTCAAGCTTTCCTCTTGCTATATCTCTGATCACGTGACAGGTGATGTTTAGGTACAAGATATACTTCCTGGATATGATATAAGTAATTTGGGCTGTAGATCATGTGTCATTCTCTGCCTTATCAATTCCACCTTTCTTTCCCACTTAGCAAACCTTTCCTAAAAGATTTTTATCCTCCCTCCTTCCCACTTTCCCTCCTTATCTGGCCATGTCTCACTTTATTTCAACCTTAACAAATAATAGTAACTTACAATGCCCCTCCAACACCAAAGCTAGAACTTCCTGCTATGTGATTCCACAGCACACCATTTATTGTATTTGCTAGTTATGATTAAATGTATTTGATGATTTGTCCTCTCTCGCTATTTTGTTCATCGATGTTTTCCCAGGGCCAATCCTAACATGGCAGACACTCAGTAAGTGCCTGTTAAATGAATGCATGAACAAATGAATGAAGTGTATGAAAGATCAACTGTTTTCAATAATCTTTAATTTAAAGTTCTAATTTACATAAAAACAAAATAAACTAATACTTTGTTCTTTTAACCAATATGCATAAGAAGTTACACTTTATAATTGATTATGGAGCACTGTGTCTGAGAATTGCTTTTCTAGTCGAAAAAATAAGATGACTTCAGTCCCATTTCTATTGATCGATGTGTCATCTTGGAAAAGCCACTGATACTCTTTGAATTGGCCAGAGAGCTAAAAGCCTTTCTGGAATAAGGCCGGGTTTAGATAAGTAAATGTCTCATCCTCAGTTTTCTCACTTGGAAAATGGTGTTAATTCTAATCACTTTCTACCTTGGGATAGTTAGAGCTATTTAATGACATGAATTCTATTCTAAAATTATGAGTTTCTGTAGAAATGTAAGGTGCTTTCATTGTTAAAGTCATTTACTACAGCTCTTGCTAGTAGAAAATAAAACTCAAAACTACCGGAGATTGATACATGCTTTGAGTTTTGGCTCCACCAGGAAAAAAAAAAAAAAAAACAGTCTTGAGAGTAAACATACATGGCATTTGGGGGGCTTTTGCTAATTTTTGAAACTTTCAGATAAGTGGGAAATGCTGAAATAGGGGCCAATATAAAGGAGTCAGGTCTTTAACAGATTCAAATGTTATGTTCTAGAGTACCACCAGCCAGTATCAGTCATATGACATTTAAAATTTTATAGTAAAAAAAAAATAATAAAATTTTATAGTAGTTATATTTTTAAAAAGAAAAAAAGTGAAATGAATCTTAGTATACTTTTCTGAACCCCACTATGTCTGACACATTATCATTCAACAAATAATGATTATACAATCGAGTTATTTTATAGTCTTAAGACCTTATCTTTGCAATCCAGTGTACTTTGCAAGCATGGTAAATCTCATTTCACAGTAACCACTTTGCAAATATTCAGAAGTCACATATGGCTAGTGTTTTCTTTACTAGACAGCTAATGCATGGGCTGAACTAACTCCTAAGCTTTCTGCTTAAGCTTTCCTATTCTGGCCGAGGGAGGGGCACTGGCATCAATGGAGTTGTACAAAAAAAGTCAAACCTATTTTGTATGTACTTGAAATCATTTAAACGGAAATACTAGGCAGCAGTTGATTTACTTATAAAAATGACACTGTAACATCACGTTTTTTTGAGTGATCAGCCTTAAATGGCCTACAGCACAAATCTTTGCAGTACAGACCCAACCGAGTGACGTATCTCACAGAATTTTTTGCTCAGAAATCCTCCCCAAGTCTGGGTCAATACCAACTCTGCATGATTTTGGCAGGTGGGGTGGGATGGGTTCCTGGGGCAGGAGAGGGAAAGGAGACCAGTCAAACCTTGCCTTTACCTTGAAGGCTTAGGTAATTGAAATAAAATTAGATACACACTGTCTCTGAATGATGAAGACTGATTGCAGACTCAGGCCAAGTCCATTATTACTCTAACCTTTTGTTAAATAAGCATGGTGCTCATTTACTCAAGAAACATTTACAGAGCACCAACTGTATGCCCAGTCTCCTATCTCAGGCCCTGAGGGTTTGATGGCCAAGAAAATATACCCAGCCTCTCAAGGCTCCAGCCAGAACTAGGCACTGGGGAATTAAAACCAATAAGATTGTCCTCAGGAAACTAGTAGTCCAGGTGGAGAGGAAAAAGTATACCAAAAATTTCCAAAAAACCAAACAAACCCACAAAAGTAAGTTTTAGGATTTCAGAGGAGAGACAGTGCAGAACATACAAACTCTCACCAAAAAAAAAAAAAAAAAAAAAGGCAGACCTTCAGAAACATCGATTTCAGTTAAGTTGAAAGAACATGCATTATGAAGTCACATAAAACATCCCCCACTTCTCTGGACACCTCAAGTTCCCAGCAGGGGAGTTAGGGGTACAGAGTCTAGTGGCAGAGCTATGTTTATGTCTGGGCTTTGATGACTGCCAGTTCAAGTTCACTACTTTTCTCACCACTGATTAAACAAGCAGAGGTTTTGAGTCACTGAGCAAACACTAACTTTCTATATCTCAGTTTTTTTCCATCTGTAAAATGGGGCTAATAGTGACATTAGAGGATTGTTGTGAGGAGTAACTAGAATAAGTGAAACATACACTGCAAAGCCTGACACAGCATGAATGGTCTATGTTAGCTGCTGTGATAATTAATCCTCATCTTGGAATCAGCACATGCTGTCCCTGGAGAAAGCCTGTTTGTGGGAAAATTTCATATGCTCTTCAAAAAACCACCTACTGGCTTCTACCCAGCCATCCTGTGGTTGAGTTTGGACTTGTTCAGTACTTTGTTACAATCCTGGGTGCATGCTGTGAAGCAATTACTTGTTTAAACACCAGTGCTCAGCATCAGGTCAGGAGTCAGGCATTGGAACTGCAGACTTGGGGTCAAAGGGGTATGAGTTCAGATCCTGGGAGACCTTGAACAAGTTACTTTCCATAAGCCTTCTTTTCTTTTTTTTGTTAAAGATTTATTTATTTTATACAAGAGCTGGGGTATAGGCCAGATGCTCAGGAGGGTAAAAAGATTCACCAGAGACAGAGTGGGGAACAGAACAGGCAGACTGACGAAATACACTGCTGAGGGGAGCAGCAGGTACAACAGAAGAGGTCTGTCGTGCCATGTGGGACCCTCGCCGGCTGGCCAGGGCTGGGATCAAACCGGCACTGCAGAGGCTATGGACAGTGTGGTGCTCAACCACCTGCGCCACCAGGGGAGGCCCAAGCCTTGTTTCTTTATGTATAAGATGGGGAATCAGGGCCTCCCCGGTGGCACAGCAGTTGAGCGCTGGGTTGCGAAGCTGCCCGCAGTCTCTGCAGCACCGGTTCAATACCCAGACACTGGGCGAGGGTCCCACATGGCGCGCAGGCCTCTCCTGCCACCCGCTGCTCCCCTCAGCAGTGTATTTCATCAAGTCTGCCTGTTCTGTTCCCCACTCTGGCTCTGGTGAATTCTCTCACCCTCCCGTGCTTCTGACTGTATCCAGTACTTGTATAAATCAATCAATCAATCAATCAATCAATCAATCTTAAAAAAAAAAAAAGATGGGGAATCATAAAAGAAACTTCCTATGATTGCGAGAAAGGTGAAAAGGAAATGGAATGATGTGCCTAAGATCTTACCACATTCATTGCCTGGCACAAACGAAGAGTAAAAGGGTAAGAGGCAGACCATCAGCTAAAATGGACCCA